CCTCACCTTCCGCTCTTGCCGCTGGAGTGGAAGGGAATTGGAGGAGGAGGAGGAGGAGAAGGAGGAGGAGGAGGAGAAGGAGGGAGTAATACAACAAATAATATGTAGAGGAGGAGGAGGAGGAGGTGGAGGAGGAGGAGGGGAGGCCGAGGAGGAGGAGGAGGAGGAGGAGGAGGAGGAGGAGGAGGAGGGCGAGGAGGAGACGTGGGGGAGGAGAGGAGAGCGGAGGAGGGGATGGGGGGGAGAAGGAAGCAGGAGGAGGAGGAGGAGGAGGAGGAGGAGGAGGAGGAGGAGGAGGAGCTGTCCATCCTGCGCACACCCTGCTAGCGCTCGCCGCTGCACGGCGAGGCTGCGAGGGCCAGCGGGTGCGCGGCAGGCTTGGCTGCTGTGCCTCCGCCTCCCCGCTCCTCGCCCCCGTCGCCCTCCGGAGCCCGCCCGCCCTCCCGGCTCCGTCGCCCGCCGTCCCAGGCCGCGCGGGAGGAAGCCGGGAGGCACGCCACAGGGAGCGCCAGGCTGACGTCGGGCATGCCCCTCTGCAGGAGGGGTGTTCAAACATAGTCAAGACATAGTCTGGGGATGGTGTTTCGACTGTGGTTTCCTATCTGTGAGCATTTGTTAGACTACTTGTTCTGTTCCTTCCAAAATCTGCCTGTAGGAGGACATGCCTGACCTACGTCACTCTGGGCCGCCCTCCTGCGGGTCTCCTCCTCCTCCTCCTGCACCTCCTCTTTCTCCGTTGCCTCGTCCTCCTCGAAGCTGCGGAGCTCGTCACCACGAGTGCCTCCTCCTCCTCCTCCTCCTCGTCCTCCTCCTCCATCTGTTTTCCTTGTGAATAACTCTTCCCTGTCGCACCCCAAGACGTGTCGGTAGGGCGGGCCGCGTGCTTCGCCTGAGACTTCCTCACGAGGAATCCGCTCATGGTCTTGAAGTTTCAAAATTGCAGAAGGTTCACTGTTGGAAGGTGGGCCGTTTTCAAAATGTGGTGTTCGTTTTCGCATCGCGAGGGTTCGTCTTGAAAGTTGGCAGGATCTTCGCAGATGGAGCGCGTGCCGTTCAATCAGTGGATCTTGTGGAAGTTCGTGATGTGAATATTGAGATCGATGGTGAGAACGACCGTGAGATCCATAGTAAGATTGATAGTAAGGATGATCGTAGAGTCGATAGTGAGACCGATCGTGAAGCCGATTCAGCGAGATCGATCGTAAGATCGATCGTGGGATCGCTCGTGCGGTCTACAGTCATATCGGTTGTTTGATTGATTGTGAGATCGATTGTGCGATCGATGGAGAGGTGGGTAGTGAGATCGATGGTAAGACCGATCGATGAGGAGAACGACCAGGAACCCGGGAAACCGAAAACCCCGCCGCCCACCGAAACCTGTCCGGAACCAGCAACCGGGAATCCAGGAACCAGAAGCCAGGAACCCGGGAACCTGGAGCCCACTGAAATCGGTTGCCGACCTTCGCCAAATCCGTGAAGATCCGCTAGGACCCCCTCAGTGCAAGCGCTGACTGGGGAAAAACGTTGTTTCGTTGGTTCTGCCGCGCAAACTCGTGTTAGAAGCGCGCAGCAGCTCCAAGGACGAAGGGCGGCTCCTTTTCCAAGTGTGGCACTCGCCTTAGCGCCGCGCGCATTCGTTTTGAATCTACTCGGCAGGTTCAAGGATGGAGGGCGGCTCCTTTGCAAAGTGTGGCTCTCTCCTTCGCGCTGCGCGCACTCGTCTGAAACAGTCACATCAGCTTTAAGAGTTCGTGTGGTCGAAGTCCCAGAAACACCGTTTTGGCACGGTGCACAACTGTCAGGTCCTAGCCGTCACGTTGATTCGCGGTGTAAAGTTCCACGAACGGCGTTCTGGCACGATTTCGGGCTGTCAGGACACATCAGTTACATTGATCCGCGGCGCTGAAGTTTCAGGAATTGCGTTGCTGAGCGATTGGTGATTCTCAGGCTCTTTTTTTTCGAATGGGCCATGTCTATCAAGGAGAACTGATTCTAGTATGTATTTATGGACATGGAACTGAGAGTGAAGGTGTATTTCAAAATCGTTGATGCGTCTTTGGTGTGTATTAGTCTTCCTCCTTCATGTCTTTTTATACGGAAGCTTAACCCGTTGGGTGCTTGCCCAAAAGAAACAGAGAACGCACTCTGTTGGAGGCGGACGGAGATTCAGGGGAGGACCTGTGGAGGGTTGTCGGAGGGCCCCCAGCGCCGGGTGCTCCAGGAGTTTGGTCTCGCCGAGTTGTGAGATTCCCTCCCCCTCCTCTCCCCCTGTCTTCGTCTGTCCTCTCCTCCCCACAGGGAGCTTTATTCTGACGTGTTACCTTTCTCCCGATGGGGTTGTTGTTATTACCGTGTCTGTCGGCGTCCTCCGCGTCAGGCTCTGCGGTAGATGTACATTTGGGGATCACCGCGGAGGGAGTTGTCATCACTCACGGACCGTTCTTTAGGGGGCAACATGCGAACCCTACCCCTACCCCCCTCAGAAATCGTGGGGGGTAGGGGTAGGGTTCGCATGTGGCCCCCTATTCTTGGCTTCGGCGAGTGGCATCAGCGGCTCTTTCGCCGACGGCCTCCGCGCCGCGAGGCAGCAGAGCGGGCCTCGCTCTCCGCGAGTGCTGGAGCGGCACTGCCGCCGCTTCCGCCACCTCGTGGCCGCGGCAGGGTTCGCCCAGAGATTCTGGAGGCCACGGCAGGGTTCGCCCGGAGATTCTGGTCAGAGGCGGGACTGCCACGGAGCGGAGCCAGCGTGTGCGTGGCCGTCTGGGCTCGGGCGGCTCGAACGGTTGAGCGTTGATGGGGGCTTCCCGCTCCTTGTGACAGAGTGAGACTGTTTGGCTGGACGTCGGAGGGCCCACTGCTGGGGAGGACAGCAGGGAGTTCACTGGCGAGTTTGGGCAGATCTTTCCTCCGTGTCGCACCTGCAGACGTGCCAGTAGGTCGTGCTGGGCGTTTCGCCTGAGACGTCCTCGCCACTCCTGATTCTGAACCTTGCACCAGCTTCAAGGACGGAGGGCTGGACGTTTTCAAAACGTGGCTCTCGCCTTCGCGCCGCGCACATTCGTCTTGAACGTTTGCAACGATTTAAGGATGGAGGGCGTGCCGTCTTCAAAATGTGGCCCTCGCTCAAGGGCCGCGCACATTCGTCTTAGAGGCTTGACGCTGTTTCAAGGATGGAGGGCGGCTCCTTTGCAACATGTGGCCTTCGCCTGAGCTCCGCGCACATTCATTTCCAAAACTTGCCGCACGGTCAAGGCTCCGTAGGGCTTGAATTCCCAGCAATGGTGTTTTGAAACCTGTCTGGTCCCAGCAGTCACTTTGATTCGCTGGAACGGCCCAGGTGCTCAGGACCCGAAAGTCACGTTGATTCGCTGCGCTGCAGTCCCAGAAATTGGCCTTCGGCGCCGCCGAGGATCTCTAGACGATTGTCCGCCTCCTCCTCCCATCTTGCAGGCGGCACGGCCCTAGCGATTTAGCCAGCGGGCCCAGGCATGCAGACTTCCATAGTGAGGATCGCCCACCAACGACAACAACAACAACAACAACAACAACAACAACAACAACAACAACCACAACCACAACCACAACCACAACAACAACAACAACAACAACAGCAACAATCCGCATCGCGGAATTCCACAACCACAACCACAACAACAACAACCACAACAACACAAACAGCAACAAACAACATCAACACCAACAACAACAACAACAATCACAACAACCCATGGAGCACAGCACCGCTCCCCTCGTTCTCTTATTTGGGAGTGTCCGCTTGTCTTTCTGTGCTGCCGACCTGCCGCGCGATGCTCGCGGGCGTGTACGTCTGCGTGGTGCTTCACGGGGCTTTCGCACGCGCCCTACGGTTGAACCCCACCTTGCAGGATTTGCGTCGCCTCCCCTCCCTTCCTCCTCCTCCTCCTCTTCCTCCTCCTCCTCCTCCTCGTCCTTAGAGAAGGCCGCGGACTAACGTTGCAGGCCGTGTCTGGTCAGGTATGGAGGCGTATGTGCTCACCCCCCTGGAGGTGCGGGCCCTCGACACCTCTCTCGCTAAGAAGCTCAGAGCGATGATGGCAGGCGCGGCACACACGGAACACGAGGATGGCAGACACACGTCGTTGACCACCAGGGCCGTGTTCGAAGAGTGGGAGATCCCACCCACAGGGGTTGAACTTATGATAAGGAGGTTGGGATGGTGGCAGTCTATCATGGCAAACCCCGAACATCACCGCCACTTCCTCAGCGCCTTCTTCGGGGAATGCAAGTTCGAGTCAAGAGCTCGCTTGGTGGGTGCAGCTGTAGCCGATATAACTATACTTGGAAACGGCGAGCTGAACCCCTCCCCGCACGTTCACCCCTGGGCCCGCCAGCTTCATGAGGACCTCCAAACGGTTTTTGGGCATCCGCATTTCAGGGAGCTGAGGGGCGTCTGGGAGCCCAGTATGTTAGGTACCCTGTTCAGCATCAACTCTGAGGCCTCCGAGGTTTTCCGCAAGTGCGACTTCAGAGCCCTGCGCACGACACTCAAGGGATGCGAGTGGGCCCCCCCGGAGCACTTCGAGAACCAGCTTCCCACTGACGAGGTGCTGGGGGAGACCGATAGTGAAGATGAGGAGCTCGCCCCCCTGTTGTGCGGGATCAAGGGATGCCGTGCCAGATTTTCGACGAACCGCGAGCTGGTCAAGCACCAGATCAACGCGACAACGCTCGAGGGCCACGGCACTCCTCCCGTCCTCTCGCAGGTATGTATAGACAATAAGTGCATCAACTGCGACACTGTCTTTGCTAGTATTGATCATACACGACGGCACTTGTTTCGAGCATGGATGTCGGGCAGATGTATCGCGGAGCTGACGAGACACACACATACCTGGACCCCCTCCGAGGTAAACCGAGTGCCCATTGGGAGAATACAGCGACCAGCCTGAATGCCACATTCATTACTCTGAGGCGCTGGAGCTGCGATGACACATTCGCACGCACATTCCCCCATGTCCGTCAGGATCTTGGCTCAAAACATCTCAGCCACGACCCGCCCACAGCGCTCGAGGCCCACTCGGGCGCGAGCTGCTGCCGCCACCGGCTTGGCGACCAGAGGACACCCCCGAGGAACGAGAACGGTTCCGAGCGGGCTATCAACGGCTGGCAGAGCTTCGAGAACAACGTGCTGAACGACTACGACGGCAGCCACAGGGACATCGGCTACCACGAGTGGATCCAGCCCCAGCCCCCTCGAGGGCAGAACGCGTGCTTGAGAGCACCACATCGCGGGTGACAGCCGCGAGCACACCCCTTCTCCTTCGACGGCCCCCAGTTGCGGCAGTTGCTGAAGATGGCGAGCAAGGCGGCGGCGGCTCGGCCGCCCGCGTGGCTCCTGAAGGGCTCCTGCCCTGCCTCCAGCACTTCTGGGAGCGACGGTTTGGCTCCGCCGCCCGCCAAGAACCCGCGCAAGGGCGACAAGGACGGCGACCACGTCATGGGGGAGGTGGACCCGCTGAAGGAGAAGGGCGGCAAGAGCGGCGGCAAGGGCGGCAAGAGCGGTCAAGGGCGCCGAGGCGGCAGGAGGCGCAGACGCGGCAACCACAGCGAGAAGAATTGGACATCGAAAGACCAGAACTTGATGCAGTGCCTGGCGACGCTGACGAAGCTCACGCTTCAAACGGCGTTCAAGCAACGACTGACATCGGCCACGACGATCGACATGCTCACGATCCCCGAGACGCACCGCGTGGTCCACAGGCTCGAGGCGGTGATGATCGAGTACCGCAAGAAGGTGGAGGCAGCCCGCCCGAGCGGCGCCGAGGCGCTGCGAGAGGTGGGCTCGCCAGTGGCGAGCCTCGTGGTCGGCCTTCTAGAGAGTCTGATGGAGTGCGACATAAGTGGAAAAGCGAAGGCCGACCTCGACAAGTACGTGGAACAAATCATACCAGTCAATGGAGAGGAGCCGCCGATCACGAGAACCCACCTGGAGCTGGACGCGGCGGCCATCCGCATCGAGAGATGCTTCGACGAGGAGAAAGTGAAGCTCCAGGTGGCAGCGCCAGTGTGGCCCATGCGGGGCACGGTCACGAACGCCTTCATCTCGGAGGGAGTGGCCCTGCGCCACACTGGTGTGGCCCCGCCTGGATTGCTGGAAGACGAGATGGCGTCGTGGCTAGAGGTGCTAACCCAGTAGTGTTTGTACAAGGAGAGACTATCGGGGGCACGGCACCTAACCCTCCCACGCCCCTGCCTCCCCCCGCCATTGACCCGATCGGCTCCGAAGATGAGTATTGCCCAGTCGAGTTCGATTGAGGCGTTGCTGACAGCATTGGCTGCCTGGCCAGCTGAATGCATACCTGTCCCCTTTCCCAGCCTCTCTAGTGCCGTGATTATGTGCAGATAGCTCTGTCCCAGAGGCGGGGGCCCAGTTCCTATCGAGACGCGGTTTCCGCTGCCAGAGGCGTGCGTGCCTCTCCCCTCGTTTGCAGCCTGCCTCCGCCGCGCCCGAGCTGCAGCATCGATCGAGCGTGCGCACCAGCCTGCATAGCTGACCAGGACAGGATCCGCGAGAGTGCGGTCCAGCGACGCGCCCCACAAGCCTCACATGTACTCCCATCAGTCGGCACACAGCCCCACTCGCCGAGTAAAAAAAAGGCTCGTCCTTAGAGGCAAAAAGCGGAAAGGCCTTGGTAGGGATCGTGATGTCGGGTGACGCCCCGTGCCTGTGGAGGTTGCCCACACTTGGCTGCGTGCCGAAACGGGGCGGTGCAGGACGGGGCAGTGCCGCTTTGCGGAGCGCGCTGGTTGAATGACGGTCAGGGTGGATACGAAGCGATCCGACTCAGTCCTTCATTTTTTCAAGCTGGTTTTCCCGGAAATTCAATCCCAGTCAAGAGGTACCCCTCGGCAGGACTCCATGAGTTATCCGTAAGGGCTTCGCCCCCTGCCGCCGGCCCCCTCTCTCGGAGAATGGGCCATGGAAGAGCTAAGTCATGAGGCTTTGGCGCTGTCGTGCAGCAGTATCGGAACTTCATGCGAGGCCGATTCGCAATCGGCAAAACCAACTGATCGCAAGAGGGGTTACCACACAGGGCGATTGGTAAGACGTGTATGGTTTACGAGCTTGGTTACCATACCTTGGGATTAAAGGGCCGAGGGAGTACTCGCAGTTTGGGTTACCACGCCTTGCGATGGATGTGCGTGAGGGGTGGCACCGAATTTCAGAAATGTGGCAAATCCTTTGTGTTTTTGGACCCTGACCCCGCGGATCTGCGTGAGGGGTGGCACCGAATTTCAGAAATGTGGCAAATCCCCTGTGTTTTTGGACCCTGACCCCGCGGATCTGCGTGAGGGGTGGCACCGAATTTCAGAAATGTGGCAAATCCCTGTGTTTTTGGACCCTGACCCCGCGGATCTGCGTGAGGGGTGGCACCGAATTTCAGAAATGTGGCAAATCCTTTGTGTTTTTGGACCCTGACCCCGCGGATCTGCGTGAGGGGTGTCGATTTCGAACCCCCCCAGCAATTCAGACAACGCGCCCAGGGGGTGCTAAAAAATCCTGTTTGGGCCTCCCCCCCCCTCGCGCGGTCAATCAACTAGTTACAGTAACCAGCAAGAAGCAGAACTGTAACACTGGAAACTACAAGCTACAACTGGTACTGGAAACTGCGAACCCGTGCCTCGCAGCCTGGTGGCCCCACAAAGGGGCCGGCGGATTCTTCTTATTATTATTCCTCCTCGTCTTCCTTCGTGACCAAGACTCCGCCAACGTGTGGGAGTCCGACGCCGGGCTTTTCTAACTGGAGCATCTGACCCCCGCGTTCAGCTCACACCCGTTCCACTACGTTCCATCCGATCCCATTCCATCAGAGTCCCGAATCATCAGGGGTAACTCGGGTCAGGGATAACTCGGGTTCGTTTTTCGGGAATCCAAACCCGAGTTACCCCGGACCCGAGTTACCCCGGATAACTCGGGCGTCCAGAGCCCCCGAATCATCAGGGGTAACATGGGTCAGGGAAAACTCGGGTTCCTTTCTCGGGATTCCGAACCCGAGTTACCCCGGACCCGAGTTACCCCAGATAACTCGGGCGTCCAGAGCCCCCGAATCATCAGGGGTAACTCGGGTCAGGGCTAACTCGGGTTCGTTTTTCGGGAATCCAAACCCGAGTTACCCCGGACCCGAGTTAGCCCGGATAACTCGGGCGCCCAATTCCATTGCATTCCTCTTCCTTCTCCTCCTCCTCCTCCTCCTCCTCCTACTCCTCCATTGGTTTATTTACAGCAGCGCCGATTTCTCCGTCAGGCCGCGGCTCACTGGCGAGCTCTAGGCCTGCCCTGTGGACGCGAGAGGTCGAGGTCCCCTAGCCGCTGCGAGGCAGGGGAAAGGCATCTCAGACTGACCCGGGGAGGCCCACCAGGCCTTCCCCCCCCCGCGCCACGGACGAGGCCCGAGAACAACAGAGAACAGCACCGAGGCCAGCCCGAAGCTCCTGGTGACGCCCCGGGCCCCGGGAACCCTCGTGATGCCTTCCTGCTCTTCTGCCCGCCTTGCCTGCCCCCAGCTTCTCCTTCCCCAGCTTGGCCTTCCCCCCGCCTCTGGCTTCCCCCAGCTTCTCCTTCCCGCCTCCCAGCCTCCCGGCTTCCCCGAGTTGCCTCGCCTGCCTTCCCGTCCCCTTCCCGACCTTCATCCTCCCAGCTTGCCTCTTCTCCGCCGCCCTTCCCTCCCCAGCGGTCCCCCGTGGAGCGGAAGGAGAGGGCGGGCTGATCCGCGTTTGCCACCCGCGCACGGCCACAAATGCCTTGTCGGAGTGCAAGAGACACCTTCATGAAGCAAGTGATGATTCGGATGGTCATCTTGCCTGGAGCGTAAGAGGAGGAGGCGGAGGAGGCGGAGGAGGGCGAGGATGAGGACGAGAAGAAGGACGAGGACGAAGACGAGGGTACGAGGACGAGGTGACGAGGACGAGGGGCCGAGGACGACGATGACGACGACGAAGACGAACGACGACGACGACGACGACGACGACGACGACGACGACGAACGGCGGCGGCGGCGGCGGCGACGATGACGACGACGACGACGACGACGACGACGACGACGACGACGACGACGACGACGACGACATCGTCGACGACGACAGCGACGGCTCGCGACGACGCGCGCTGGCCGACACGCCCGTGCCGTCCGCAAACCTCGAGGAGGGCCGGAGGCAGCCGGGCGTGGACGTGGAGAGCGTGAACAACGGGACGCAGGCGGCGGGGGCGAGCGGCTTCTGCGGGCGGGCGCGGGGGGGAGGATCAAAGGAGGAGGGGGGGATGGACCAGGAGGGGGCAGGATCGAATAACAAACAAGGCGGCGTGGACCCGAGTTCTCGGACACCCCAGACGTAGCGTGTGTGCCGTTCCTTGCTCTTCCAGGGGAGGAGGGAGCATCGAAGGAGGGTTCCAAGGACGAGGAGGATCAGAGGAGGAGGGGGAGGAGGAGGTTCGTGGGGGGACGAGGGGAAGATTCAGAGGGGGGGGACGGAGGAAGGAGGCTGGATCTGTGCAGCCGCTCGGCCCCTAAGGGCGGGGGGCGCCACCGGAGGCGCTTCCGCTGGGGGCGAGACGGGCAGGGGCCCAGGCACGCGACGTCTCGATTCTTTCGAGGCACGGGTCCCCGACCTCCCGACCGCTTCGCTCCCCCCCCCCCCCCCGGGCCGGTTCCACATCCTGGGTCGTTTTTTTGTTGGACGGTCGCGAGGCCCGGCGAGGGCCCCGAGAGGCCGAAAACGACGAAGGACCTCCGTCTCGTTTTTTTCGGGACGCCCGATATCTGGGTTGTGAGGGGGGGGGGAGGAGGAAAAAGAGGAGGAGGGCGGAGGAGGAGGAGGAGGAGGAGGAGGGAGGAGGAAGGAGCGAGGAGGAGGAGGAGGAGGATGATGAGGTGGAGGAGGAGGAGGAGGAGGAGGAGGAGGAGGAGGAGGAAGACGAGGAGGAGGAGGAGGAGTAGGAGGAAGAAGAAGAAGAGGAGGAGGAGGAGGAAGGAGGAGGAGGAGGGTTCGCTGCCGCCATCGAGGGGCGGCCCGAGGGCCACGAGAGAGAGCGCAGCACGGGGCGGGGGGGAGGGGGGCGCCTATGTCGGGACGAGAACGATCTGTCCCCAGGCAGGTGTTCAGAGTTCCGCCAGGGTTAAGTCGGGCGTTTCCCTCTACAGGGGGAATATTCGAAAATAGGCCAAAAATAGTCAGGAGACTATTTTCGACCATGTTTTGAAAACTTTGTTGGAATATTTTTGGATTAGTTTCAATTTTTTCATCCCAAATCCGCCTGTAGGAGGACAGGCCCGACTTCACGCCAGGGCCCACCGACATGGCGCCCCCTCCCCACTCCCCGCCAAGAAGCAAGCGATCCTGGCGAAGGACCCAACCATATATCTATATTTACATATACATACATACATACATACATGCATGCATGCATGCATGCATGCATACATATGTATATACATGCAGTTGCGAGCGTCGCCGCCGTGGGTCTCGTGTGCGGGGTGTGCAGGACTTGGGGGGGGGGGGGGGGGGGGGCGGCGCATGCGAGCTGTGCCACTGGGGCTTTCGGTGGAGTTGCCCATGGGGCGGCCACGCAGCGTGCGAGGGATGCTCCGGAATTGCATATATGGGGAAGCGGCGTGCGTGTGTCACCGGGGCCTGCGGTGCAGCTCCCTCTTGGGCCACGAAGCGTGCGAGGGGCGCGCCGAACAGGGGGGTGGGCTTAATGGGCCCTGGAAACGACAGGGCCGTTGTTTTACCGGTTCCGTTTTGCCGTTTTTTCGCCGGTTCCAACGCCGTTTTTTTACCGGTTCCGTCGCCGTTTTTTGACCGGTTCCGGCTCGGGTTCCAATCTTGGAGCCGTTTGTTTGCCGTTTCCGGTCGCCGTTTTTTTGCCGTTTCCATTTTCAAGGGACATTTTTTGGGAAACGGTGAAAAAACGGCCCTGCCGTTTCCAGGGCCCACAAAGGGGGTGGGTAACCGCATGCACGCTGTGCTGAAGGTGCCTTCGGTGGAGCCCTCCTGTGGGGTTTCGCGAGACGTGAGGTGGGCTCGCCGACATGGCGGGGAACCGCAAGCGAGTTTCGCCACTGGGGCTGGGGCCTTCGGTGGCGCCCCCATGCGTGGTCACGAAACGTGTGAGGGGTGTGCTGGGATTTGGGGGAGCACATGGGAACTGTGCAACCGGGGCCTTCGGTGGAGCTCCCTATGGGGTCGCAAAAGGTGTGAGGGGTATGTCGAAATAGTCAGGGGGTCGCTTTGCAACACCACCCCCTGGCGCCTCTGGTGGAGTTCCCCATGGGACCACGAAGCGTGTGAGGGGTGTGCCAGCATGGGCTGGGGGACGCTATGCGAACTGCGCCACAAGGCCCTTAGGTTGAGCTCCCTGTGGGACCACGAAACGTGTGAGGGGTGTCCCGAATTAGGCTTGGGGACGCCATGCGACTCCCCCCCCTGGGGCCCTCAGGACTCTATCCTAGTGTGTTCGAAGCGGCCGGTGAAGTACTTTTTTTTCCGCTGACGGCTGGCAGGCCCCGCCTCCCCGAACTACTCAAGGGGTATTGGCAAGCCTCTTCAGATACGGGTCCGTGGTCGCCACCGTCCAAGCCTCCACCCT